TGGCCGCCTTCCAGCCGCTGGAGGGGCTGTTCGCGAGGGCTTGTCGTGATAGGACGAGAGGGAACGGGCTTAAGTGTATTTAGATTAGATGTTGTGAAGAAATTATTGGGTGGTGAGATACGCGGGTTTCCCGGGGAACTTGTGGATGCCCCATCCCTGAAAGTGCTCAAGGCCAGGTGTGATGGTGCTTGGAGCGACCTGGTCTGGTGGGAGGTGTCCCTGCCCATGCAGGAAGGGCAGGAACCAGATGATCCTTAGGGTCTGTTCCAACCCCAGCCATTTCACGAGTTCTTCCCCTACCACTGTTTACCACAGCCCGTGTTTGCACGTGGGTTTTTTAGTAATTGCAGGAGAAAGAATTTCAAGGTGTGTATTTGTCACTGAATTCACCTCTATGCAATTTTGTCTTTAGCAAAACTAATACCATATGCAAGAAATGTGCCCAAAATGTGAAGCAGTTTGGAACGGTGAGTAGGCTCTTAGTTCTAAATATTGAAGTTCATTCATGTTTTAAATTTTAAAAAGTTCTTTGCAACTAAACTTCTGATTTTCTTTTGGGGATACAAAAAAATATTACATTTCAGAAAGGTGGTGAAAAGCACTGGCAGCTCTTGATTTCCTTCCTGACTTAACATTTCTTTTTTCAAATTGAAATCCATTGTGATTAAATGTAGCTTAACAGTCATGAATAGCAGCAATATAGCTGTTCATAGTAAAAACAACTTTACTTCACTTTGTGTGTAAAGTAATCCTTTGTGTATTCTCATAAATGCACACTTGACATCAGAGAGACCATTTGCTGCCTGTGTTTTTAATGAGCTGTGAATATGAAAATTTAGTAACACTGCCTACTTTGTAAGTGTTAACATTTAAAAATGCATGTTAATTGTGTTAAGCTATTAATAGAAAGGATGCTCAAACCAGGACAGGGTATTAGCTGTATACACATTACTTTGCATTTTCCCATCTTGAGTTTCAACTTCAGTTCTGTTAGAAAAAATAATTTCTGTTCTATATGAATACACAGACTGTATCCTGACATAAACCATATTTGATGAAATTTAGCTTATTTGACAAGTGTAGCAGCTGCTGGTATGTAGTCAGGCATTTTGTGAACAGAAATGTGAACTGAACAAAGACAATTCTTTTAGAAGCTTAAAATGTAGTAAAATGAAGTGCAAGTCTATTCCAGTTTGGGTTTTTTTATCAGTAGTTCATAAAAAAAAAAAGAAACTGCTTTGAAGATAACCATTTCTAAACTATTAAAACTGACATTTTTATTTTCCCAGCAGCATGTTGTTCTAGTTGAGTGTGTGATATGAAAGTTCATAAAAATGACTTGACTATATCTGAAGTTGGTTTGTTTTTTAAGTTTCCTGCAGAATTGCAGCAATCAGGGTACTAATCTTGGAGCTATAAAGCTGTCAGATCCCTGAGTAGTGCAAGGGAGAGGGATGTTTTCAGAAGCTTCCAGTCTAAAAAAATTAGTTGATTACTCTTCTAAAGTTTTAAAAGTAATTTCTTCAGTAATATGATAAAATAGAGAGAAAATGTGATCATATGTTTAAAAAAAAAACAACAAAAAAAGGAGCAAGGCAGAGCTGTGGTTGAGACACCTCTACGTTTCTGGCACATTGAATGTGTTTCTTTCATTGAGTATGTACCCGGGTTTTCATGGAAAAACCAGGCTGTTTTTGATCATTGAGTGAACACCATTTTTGGGGAAAAGTTTAGTACCAAAGTTAGAAATAATACAAAAAAGGTTCTTTAAAATAGATTATGTGGAGTTTAGAAGCATGGAATTTGAAATGCCTGTGTCCATTGAAGAAACTGTACATATATTCACTTCAATTTATCTGTTTTTCAGCCCAAGCCTTGTCAGTATTGTAACATTATTGCAGCATTTATTGGCACAAAATGTCAGCGTTGCACCAACTCAGAGAAGAAGTACGGGCCACCTCAGACATGTGAGCAGTGCAAACAGCAGTGTGCTTTTGATCGAAAAGAGGAGGGGAGGAGAAAGGTAGGGTTTGTTCCACAGTTGTCATGGCCTAGGCTGGCAGCAGACAGTGTTCCTCCTTTGTAAGAGAAAGAATAACAGGGCAGCATCTTAAGCTTACTTGTATTAGATTGAAGTCACTGTGCTTTACAATATTTGAATTGAGTTTTGTAACTTGCAGCTGTTAACTTCTGAGCTAACTTACTTTAAATCACTCTTAAAATAAATCGCTTAAAAATAAGCTTAAGCATAAGCTGGGGAATTGGGGTTAAACAGCTCAACAGTTCCTGGTGCTTTGGTTCTTTTCTTTCTTTCTTTTTTTTTTTTAATTATTATTTTTATTTTCCTGGTTGCTGAATCTTATGTATGTCCATAGCTTGGATCTGATACTTCTTCTGATTTGCCTGCCTTGCCTTAAAGTACAACACCAGTGAGGTAGACTGAGCAGCAGTTTGTATTGTTTTTTTAAATAGCTTCAGTGAGTGCCACATTCTAATTACATAGGGTGCTGAGAAAATTACCTTAACAGCCACTTGCCTGAACCCAAGAATAATGCTGTTTTTACAGAAGAGTTTATTTGGTAGAAGTAACACATTGGTTGGGCATCTTGATTCTGCCTGGAATACAAGGGCTTGAGAGAGGGGACATAGTGTCTTAACTAAAAATTATTTGTCTGTTTAAAAAGTTATTGCTTCTGGGATATAGAGTGATCCAAGATTTGCTCAGACTGCTTTCTAGTTTAAATGCCAAAAAGAGGTGAAATAAGATTCATTTTGCTAGAAGATAATGTGCATATGTTGGAGGTATGGTAGTGCTATTTCATACCAAAGAGGTGTCTGGATTTTTCCTAAAGATGGAATGGAACAAGTTTTTAATGCAAATTTTGAAGTACATCAGTCCAGTGCAAGTATACTTGCAAAAAACCCTGCTCTGAATTGTTTCCCAAAAGGTTGATGGAAAGTTGTTGTGTTGGCTCTGCACGCTGTCCTACAAGAGAGTGCTACAGAAGACAAAAGAACAGAGGAAGAGCCTAGGATCTTCACATTCTAACTCCTCATCCTCATCTCTTACTGAGAAAGACCAGCATCATTCAAAACACCACCACCATCACCACCACCACCACCATCATCGTCACAGCAGCAGTCATCATAAGTAAGTATGTCAGAAATGAAAGTAGCTGTTGGTACCTCTTCTGCATTCTGTTAGTGTTGAGATAAAATCTTTGAAAATAAGAAATGCTGTTTAAAATATGGCATCAAAAGCAATAGCAGAATATTCTTCCGTGGTCTGTCAGACTGCTTGTATTCTCACAGTTTGCAGGTCAGCAAAAAGCAGAAGTTTTTGGTCATCATCAGACAAGTTGATGTTAAAATTGGTAGCATGTCTAGAAAATAATCTCACAGAATAGTTACAGAGCAAGTTACCTGACGAGTAACTCAAATTTGGCTTTCTAAGCAGTAACTGCTGTGTGATAACTGCTATTTTAGATGCATTTACCAGGGGTTAAAAATTGTGCATTAGCAGTGAGCACAGATTTTCCATTTCAACTGAAACTTGCCTAAGTGTGACTTAAAGATAGAAGTAAAATAAGCTAGAGTGATACTGGGAATAAGGATAATACTCCGTACGTGCTTTCACATAAAAATAAATAAAAAATAGTAATGAAGATGATTTGGGTTTTTTTTAATAACTTGAGGAAAAAATCATGCTTGTCATGCAGAGCCTCACTGTGTTGTTCCTATTTTCTCAAATCTGCTGAAAATCAAGTTACAGCAAGCTAAATCTAATATAATGCATGTAGCAAAGATATAGTAAGATTAAATTTAAAAAATTTAGACCTTCTAATATATTCAAGAGTTAGAGAAGCAGCATGTCCCTACACAGATCACAGTATTCCCAGTTTGGTACCTTTTTTTCTATAGACTGCCATGGGTCCATCACTTCTGGTCCAATAAAAACAGCTCTTCTTTCTGTTTCCATTTCAGTTATTGTTAAGATGGTACAATGAGGTAGAGGTAGAAACACAGGTTCATTAAACTATTTCATCTAGTGCAGTCTTCTACATTTGACTATTCCTATATCAATGGTGTTTATTAAAATTGCTTTTGAAATTACTCAAAATAAATGTTTAGACCTGAAAAGGAGTTATTTTCAGGGACCTAAAGCTTGGGTTTGTTGTTATGCCATCACATAAGTACTGCTTTAGGCAATGTTCGTAATGCAGTAAGGAAATCCCAGGAATGCTCTTCTTGACCAGTTTCCTGAGTTTACAAGATCAGCGATATAAAGTTCACAAAAATTTGGAGACCACAGAAAAAAGGTTTAGCCATCATTCTTGAAGTCTAGCCCTTGTGTCTTACAGCAGTGTAAACATTTAGCTAAGAAATGTTTTTATAGCATCCTGACATAGTAAAGAGCAATCACAAATATGACAGATATGACTGTCCAGCTGAAAATTCATAGTTGGTAATCTTTTTAATTAAAAAAAAAAAAAAAGTTGGGGGAGATGGATTTTTCTCAAGTACAGATGACATTCACATAAACTCAGAAATAATGGCATGTTTGGTCACTTACCAAATACATTTCACATATTTCAGAATCAGCAGTCTGAGTCCAGAACAAGATCAGGGACTATGGAAACAGAGGTAAATATTATATCGTTTATTAATTTCCTTTTAATTTATCTTGCAGTTTTCATTTAAAGGACTTTTTCTTGCATTTCTGGCTAGTCTCTAGCATTCCAGCTAGGAGCATGAGATAGTGATTTAAAATGTACCAAATGGTGATACTAGAGAGTTATATAGCATGAGGCTTTAGGTTTACATTTTGTTTGATTTCAGCCATAAATCCTCTGCAGCTATTCAGAATGAAACCCCAAAGAAAAAACCCAAACTGGAATCCAAGCCATCAAATGGAGATAGGTAAAGTTACATTTTTGTAAAGCTGAGCCATTTCAACCAAATAGGGCACTGATTTGTGGCCACTTGCTTCTTTTCTTTTTTCTTTGTTGAGGGAGGTGAAACTATTATCCAGTCAGATTATTGGGTGGCATCTGAATACTGTCGGTCAACTAAACGATATTATTAGCAGAAAACTGGCACTGTCTTCCTGCTTTTAAGCTGTTTGTGGCAAAATTAAGTAAAACTTACGCACAAGGCAGCAGTTATTAACCAACCAGTGTTCCCTAACATTGGTGTTCGACCTGCTGCTTTAAGCTGACCTGGTATCTAGAGAAGTCTTTTGGACTTTAATGTGTGAAACTGAACCTTTTTTCAGTCTATGGCCAAATAGTTGTAATAAAAGTAAAAGTGGCTGCTTCAGTCAAAAGGTATTTGTCCCCCTCAAAGCTAACACTTAATTATATTTCTGCAGGTGTATGTAATGTGTGCCATTAGTAAGGTAATTTGCCAGTTGCATCCATTTCTGTCAGGTACATACTTTTTTTTGCCTTAGTCCTTAAGGATGTTTGTGGTATTATTAATTATCTAAATTTGAACTTTAAAAAAAGTTACTGTTTTTTCCTACTGATGTTGCAAGTAACTATCGTTTTTTATTTTTAGTAGCTCTATAAATCAGTCAGCAGACAGTGGGGGAACTGACAACTTTGTCCTCATAAGTCAGCTGAAAGAAGAAGTGATGTCACTTAAACGTCTTCTGCAGCAAAGAGATCAGACTATTTTAGAAAAAGATAAAAAGGTAAAAGTTGCATGTGCTTAATAAGAACTTTTGTTTTCTATTTTGTAAACTCCTAACGGCGGCAAATCAGTGACATAAAACAAAAATGAAAAGGAATTTTATTATATAGCAGTTAATCAGATCTTCCCATTTAAAGGACAAGTTTGAGACTTCTGTATCATGAATGTATTTTGGCTCTAAGTCATAGAGAAATTCATGTTACCTCCCTTCAGCTGTCTAGAAGGTAGCCATCTGGCTCACTGTTACTCAGGCTTCCTGCTGTAGGTGATGGATAAAATGCCAGACAGAGTTTAGATGATTTACTTAGTTACAACTGAGTCAAAGATCCCAGGTAGTAGGCTGATGATCTGAGTTTAGCATAGTTTTTGTTTATTTTTAAACTAAAGTGACTATAGCCCTAATTTATGAGTTGGTGTCCAAATTTTCATGGACAGTGTATGAAAAGTGTTTTGATTTTAAAAGATGGGCAGTGTATATGTAAAGTAGGTGATCAAATCTTTGTGTATGGTCAGGGATGAGTAGGAAAGCTTGGATTAGATGCCTGACAGTCAACAAAGTTAAACAAAACAGTCCAGCTTAGATGGCTGCAGTAAAACACATACAAAAGTCACCTTTCAACTAACCTGCCTAGAAAGAAACTACAAATATATACTTTTCTGTGTCTTTCTTAGAGCTTGTTTCTCTGGTATCTGATTAACGAGATGCTTTTAAGAAACTGTGAAGGTGACTCTAAAATGTTTGTTCAGGATTGGATGGGTTATGGAATTGTATTAAAAATAATTAAATGCATGGTGGCCTATCAAAACCTTGGTGGTTAAAAAAGGCTCATTGATCCTGAAAGGAAAATGTTTCCTTTAAACCATAGATCTGTATCTTCATTTCTACTCTTAATGTGTTGTGTAAAGGATATTGAATCTTTTTTCTTTCCTGTTACTGCTATAATATACCTGGTGTTAGAAGTAACTGCTATTTCAAGCCTTCAAGCAGTTGATGTGAAAGAGCTGAACAGTCCGTCATGGATTCTCTTTAGGTAGTTTCTTCAAAGCACAGACATTAAGGCCCTGATTTACCTTTTATAATAAAAAAGTAGAAGATAATGAATCAGTAGGAAATTTACTTGCCTGTTTCTATATTTGATCTACTGGGCAAAGCTAACAAAAGGGCTGGGTAAGGAAATGTCACCTCTTTCTGCATAAGAGGGGCCTAACAAATAACCTCTTTTATGCCGTTTCCATAGACAAAGTGTCTAATAATTTTAATATCCCCAATGCTTAAATTATTTGACCTCGGAGTTCTTTGAATTTATATTCCTTCAGGCTTTAATTACTTCCAGAATGTCACTTTCTTCTGCTGCGGGGAGGGGGAGCAAAGAAAACCGAACACCTTGTACAGTGTTTGCATAGCTGAAAAAATTACCAAAAAAAAGAGCACAGATTTATATATATTTTTTTTTTAACACTGAGAAAGTAAGTGTAAAGACACATACTGGGCTAAGAGCCTCCTCCAGGCCTCTGGGAGATTCCTGTCCCAAGATCTGTGCTGGGACAGCATTTGAAAGGTTTGCCTCACTTCAGAAAAAACCCCTCTGAAATGTATAATATGGCAACAAAAACAACTTGGTACACCAGCTTTACAGATTATCCTCATTCATAATTTGTTTTGTTGTGGGTCAAGATCTCAGCTGTGTCCTTTGCGGTCCTTGCTGTTTGCAGTACTGACCTTATTTTGCTTTCTGGACAAAATGTTAGTGAGTCAAGAAGACATTTATCATGGGACTTAGAGATTTTACCATTAGGAAGGGAGCACATTCTGCTCAATGTTCACAGGTAGTGTGCTTGCTCACCTAGCTGCATACTTTACTGTGATGCAATAGGTTTTTTGATACTTAGTTTGTGGTATGTGGGTTTTGTACTGAATCCTCTGGAATTTACAATGGCCGTAAGACATACATACCTTGAGCAGCAATTTATGTCCACTGAGGTATCTATCCTTGTGTACCTGCATGTTATTTTAGGACCATTTGATTCACAGTTCTTTGGAATGCTTTGTTTCACTAAATGTGATTTGACACATACTGAGGTTGGTAATAGCAGTCTAGTTAGCTGTTTTAGGAGTGTGTGCTCTAGTTTGTTACACCCTATTGCTAGCAAAGGGGCTCATTTCCTGGTGTATCCAGATTTACTGGGGAGGTTCAAAATAAGCAGGTGACTCGGAAATACTCTGAGGAACTGAACCTTTTACAGGAATGATTCCTAAAACTTCTGTGACCATATAAAAGAAACTGTTAGTAGTTCACCCAGCTGCATTCAGCTGGTTGGATAGAAACATGTGCCACTATTTAGAAACACCGGCCTTGGTGTATGTCACCTGGATCTCTGCCCATCTCAAGAGAGGCAGTGGCAGCAATTTTACACCACACACTCAGAATTAAATCTAAGTTAAGTAATTTTAATTGCACACTTGTAGTAACACAATTCAATACACTTGCGGATGGAGAAGCAGTGAAGCTCTGGAGTGTATACTTCTGCTTAGGACAAATTGTAGCATGAAAGGACACAAAGGAAATCTTTCTGTTGTCTTTCAGTGGAAGAGTTTGTTCAGGTGTTACCGTACTATACCACTGAAGAGACAAGACTGAAGGTTATAAATCATTAGTCTTCATTGTTGGTTTTGGGGTTTTTTTTGAGGATTAACCTTTATGCCAATCCTGAGCAAACAATATGTTTATATAAGTACAGTAATTTCATTATTGAAAAACAGACATACTGTTCAAGCTACTACGCAAGTGCTGAGCTGTCAATACTACAATAGTAACTAAGTGTAGCTATTCCTGAGGCTTCCATAAAGGTTTTGCAGATTGATTAGAAAGATGTATATTGTAGCAGTCTGAGGAATTTTCACAGAAATTATCTTCTCAGTTGACAGAACTGAAGGCAGATTTCCAGTACCAGGAGTCTAACTTAAGGACAAAGATGAACAGTATGGAGAAAGCTCATAAGGAAACTGTGGAACAGTTGCAGGTGAGTAACTGCTCATCAGTACTTGAGAAGTAAGGTCAGCTGGAATTGTGTACCCACGGCAGAGAAATGGTACCAAGTTCTTGAATGATCGTTACCACGTTTAACTTCAGATCCATTGTACACTTATGCAGTTAACAGACAATCTCCATATGAATTAAACTCACTGTAAGAATTGCTTTCAAACTTTGAGATAGAGGCTCACCTCACATGCTTTCTCAAAGGTTATGTCATTTGTTGTCTCTGTTCTCTGATAGGTAATCAGTTGTCAGTGTGTAGTTGATATGATGTAACAGCTCAGCCTAACACCACTGACAGTTAAGTGTCTCTTATTAAAACACACTTTATCAGGAGGAAAGCCTAAATTAGTTGCCTCATAAATCACAGACTGAACAGTGACTCAGTGTAATGGCTCAGATACTAAATTTTGCAGTAGAGGAGATGTGGTTACCTTTCCTTTCAAAGAATCATATCAAGCATGTACGAATCTTTGAAAAGTGACAATCATCTTACTCAGGTATTCTCAGCATGTTCATTTTGAGGCTTTGTTACATAAATGCAATGAGAAATTAGTGTGTGACACTGTGTGATGTTTCAGTAATTGACAAAACATTTCTTCTTTCTGTTGCAGGCCAAAAACAGAGAACTGCTCAAACAGGTTGCAGCATTGTCAAAGGGTAAAAAGTTTGATAAAAGTGGGAGTATACTAACATCTCCTTGAGGAACTGGTTTTTCACGGGGTTTTCTACTCAATGTAAATTTGAGTAATTCTGTGAAGCCTTTAAAATCCTGTGTAGTGGAAAAAAATATTTTTGCACACCAGATTAGTTGGCATGTTTCCTACACGTTTTTATAATTAATATGCAGCTTTTTTAGTTACTGTTCGGATGAAATACTTCAACTGGCTTGAAGAATGTTTTTATTTTTTTGATATTGGAAACTTTTTGCCAGCAATAGTATTAAACAATTGCATAGAGAACATAGCAGTGCTCTCTCTAAAAGGACAACATGCAATAACAAACTAGGTGTACTTTTTACAAAAGCAGCAGCTGAGTCTTTTAAACTACACTGATGTCAGCCAAATGTTTCTGAATCTGCAGTGACTGAACACTGGTTTCTGGCAACTGTTCTTTTACTTTGTATCAAAATATGAATTTAGAATGGGAATCATGGTGCTCTCAAGTGAAACTAAAAAAAGTCATATATGTATGTGTAAATAGAATTGTAACGGTTATATTCTTAGTTATAACAAGTAATTAGTGTTCTACATTCTTGTGATAGGGATTTACTGAAAGATTATCTATTGTACAGTAACAGAGACAGTGTGTTTTTTGTAAGATTTACTGTAGATTTTTCTTGCAAGTGCCTTTCTCCAACTGTTTATTTATAGGAATGTTGGTATTTTGTACATAAGTTTTTTATGTTTTAAAATAATGATTAATAAATGTTTTATGTAAATATAAATGTGTGTACAGAGGAATCTGAAACAAAGATCAAAGTGGCTAGTGCAGTGCTTGAAGCAGCATTAAGAGCTAGCTAATTGATGGACAGTGAGTATTTGCTTTAGGTAACCTTTGTAGCTTGTATCTGTGAAGTGTAGAATTTTGTTAGTGCTGCTCATGCCAAACACTTCCTGAACAAAAACCATGTTTTTTGCCACACTGGAGTTGAGTGGTTTGATTAGATATTTTTCCCATTTGGCACAGCGTTAATTTTAATTCCATGGTAGACATTGTACTCCCAATATCCTTAGTGATATACACTCCAAGTTGTAAAACAAATTCTTCCCCATTGTCTGATTTAATGTACTTAGTTGTAACTTATGATGATTCTTCTTAATGAATTACAAGTTTCTCATCCCCCAGTGAAGATACACAATGAGAAAAGAGTAGCCAAAACAAATGGTCTTGAAACGAATTCAGGAAGTGGATGTGGTGTCAAAGGGTGGGTTGTTTTAATGGTTTGGGTAAATTTTTATTCTAAAATACATCAGTTTAAGTTTAGCTCTGCTCCTAATGGTCATCAGTCATATTCAGAAATTTCTGTTTAACATCATTCAGTGTACCCAGGGTCTGTTCAGGAAGGTGAGTTATGAATCAACATGAATTGAAATAGACTTAAGTCTGGAGATGTTCAAGATCTGCCTGGATGCAGTCCTGAGTAATGTTCTCTGGGTAATCCTGCTTTAGCAGGGGAGTTGGACTAGATGATCTCTAGAGGTCCCTTCCGACTCTGACAATTCTGCAATTTCATGAATAGAGATTTCCTTCAGCTCTGGGTACAGGGTGACTGCTTGTATTTCAGTGAGCTTAATTGTATAAACTATACGCTTTTTAACTAAACAATTACATCCAAAGTTCTTTGGATGTCCACCCGTGTACTGAACTATGAAAACCTTTTCAGTAGTTCAAACAAGTTTCAGCAGTGACAGACTACTGAACAAATTGAAAACAATCAAGCAAGCTTTTTTTTGATGATACGTGTATTTTTATACCCTAAAATCAACTTGATATGTTTATTAATGCTCCTCTTTAAACTCACTAAACTAGTAGAGAATACTGCTGTCTTTTGGGGATGTTATTAATTTTTCTTAATATGCAGACTTATTACTTTCATTAATTCAGAGTTAATATTTTGATATTGGGATTATTTTTTTTTTTTTAATTGAACGGCATCCCATGTTTGGTGAAATTGGTTTTAAAACAGAAAAACATAGCAAATTGAAATGTCTGAATTAAAATCACTTAGTGATATCTGTTCAAGCAGCAGTAAGGACATTTAAAGGCACAAACTCAAGTTCTATATTAGAAGTAATTGATTTCATAAATCGCAGTCTGAAAAATTCTTAAGGTTTTCACAGTTCTAATTAAATACTTGTGGTTTTTCTTCTATAATCTCATTTTTTAACATGAATTTTTTACAGTTGTAAACTAGCCAATGGAATCCCAACCCTGAAAATAGTGTCCTGGAGCTGTAGATTATTGACATAACAAACTGATGTTCTTTAAATGTGGATCTGCAAGGAGATTGTTGTACTGTATTGTGCTTTTTAGCCTGTTTCCAGATGTTGATTAGCATTGCCCAGTAATGGCCATTTTGGCTCAAGTTATTTATGTATTTTAAGCCTGTGAATATTGCAACCCCCTTTTAGATAGTGTCTAAATACGCGTCCTGCAGTGAAGCTGTTCAGCTGTCCACATGTACAGACTGTTGAAATACTGTACTGGCACACGTCAGACCGTTGACATTTTGTACCTTTTCTAAATCCAATGTTTCACAATAAAATCTTGTCAAAACTTCATCTGTCCTTTTAAAATTCTTCAGAAGTCACTTACTACAGTCTGTGGCCAAGAAAAAGGCAGAGTTATGTAATATTTGCATTTAGTATTCAGATTTCTGGGAAGAATTACAGACACCTTGGCCTGCCTGAAAACTGTAACAAATTGGAGCTTTGGATTAATTTCTCTCAAGAAAATATTTTGGTTTTCTACAATACAGGCTTTGGGGAAAGACCTTAGAGCACCTTCCAGTACCTGAAGGGGCTACAGGAAAGCTGGGGAGGGGCTTTTCACCAGAGAGGGCAGTGATAGGACAAGGGGTAATGGTTTTAAACTGAAAGAGGGGAGATTGAGGTTAGATATGAGGAAGAAATTCTTCACTCTGAGGGAAGTAAGGTGCTGGAATAGGTTGCCCAGGGAGGTTGTGGAAGCCCCCTCCCTGGAGGTGTTAAAGGCCAGGTTGGATTAGGCTTTGTGCAGTTTGGTCTAGTGGGGTGTCCATGCTCATAGCTGGGGAGCTAGAACCTGATGATGTTTAAGGTCCTGGCCAAGCTTAACCATTCTATGATTCTATGAATTATACTACATAGAAATATTTTCTTGCAGAAAAGAAGAAAAAAACTTAAGGTTTATCTTTTTGATATTTAATAAAGCCTTCAATATATTTTTGTATAATCTGATTAACATCAGCATTCATGTCTAAAAGTACCTGAAATTCAGTTTCAGCCATATGGTTGTTCTTCCATCATGTACATTTTGTACAAGTTTGGTGATTCTGAGAGTCAAAGTGATGTTAATAATTTCTGTGCCCGTTCCTTGTTTGGGGAGGAGGTGGGTGCCCACACCAATGAGCTGCTGTTTATGGTGGCTCCTGGTGCTCAGTTAATGTTCCGTGAGCTTGGAGGAAGCAACATTTGAAAATTAACCAACTCTCTTGGGCTTCCCTAACTTCTAGAGTCTTAACTCATGGGCTTCCTGCAAGTAGATCTTTGGAGCGCTAACTTTGTACTCTTCAGAAGTCCAGGGTTGCAATCCTACTTATTGCCCTGCTTCTTCCTTGTAAAATACTAAACTCTACCATGTCATGATAACTGTTGCCAAGGCTGTCCCCAGCCTTAACATTCCCAACCAGACCTTTATTTGTTAATAAAAGGTTCATCAGTGCACCTCTCCTCCTTAGTTCTTCCACTACCTGCATCAGGAAGTTATCATTGATGCACTGCAAGAGCCTTCTGGACTATGTTCATCTGTATGGGCTTTCCAGCAAGTCTCATGGTGATTGAAGTCACCCATGAGCACTAAGACGTGATCTAGAGGCTACTTCCAGCTGACTCTGCTGACAGCTACTTTTCCAGTAGAAGGCCTCATCAGCATGTTTTTTCTGGTTTGGTTTCATGTTGCTCTGGCACGTAAAGAGCAACAATCTTGCCTTGTTGATTTCTATCCTAAAGAGTACATAGCCATCCATGGCAACATGCCAGTCTTGGGAGCTGTCCCACTGTGTCTCAGTCATTGCAATGTCTGTCATAGCCCTGTGACCAAACAGGCTGAACAACAGAGCCCAGTGGGTAGTGATCAATGGTGTAGAGTCCAGCTGGAGACCTGCAACTAGTGGAGTCCCCCAGGGATCAGTGCTGGGCCCTGTCCTGTTCAACATCTTTATCAATGGCCTGGATGTGGGGACAGGGTGTATCCTCTTCAAGTTTGCTGATGACAACGCTGGGAGGATTGGCTGATTCACTTGAAGGTTGTGCAGCTGTTCAGCAAAATTTGGATAGACTGAAGCTCTGGGCAAAGAGGAATGCAATGAGGTTCAACAAGAGTAAGTGTAGAGTCCTGCACCTGGGAAGGAACAATAACATGCACCAGTACAGATTAGGAGCTGACTTGCTAGAAAGCAGCTCCATGGAGAAGGATCTTGGAGTCCTGGTGGACAACAAGTTATCCATGGGGCAGCAATGTGCCCTTGTGGCCAAGAAGCCCAATGGTATCCTGAGGTCCATTAAGAAGAGTGTGGCCAGCAGGTCGAGGGAAGTTCTCCCTCTTTACTCGGCCCTAGTGAGGCCACAACTGGAGGATTGTGTCCAATTCTGGGCTCCCCAGTTCAAGAAGGACAGGGATCTACTTGAGAGAGTCCAAGGTCAGGATTAAGGGACTGGAACACCTGTCTTATGAGGAAAGGCTGAGAGGCCTGGGGCTGTTTACTCCAGAGAAGAGAAGACTGAGAGGGGATCTTATTAATGTCTATAAATATCTGAGAGCTGGGTGTCAAGAAGGAAGAGGCAATCTCTTTTCAGTCGTGCCCCGTGATAGGATGAGGGGCAATGGATGCAAACTCAAGCACAGTAAGTTCCATCTCAACATGAAGAAGAACTTCTTTACTGTGAGGGTGACAGAGCACTGGAACAGGCTGCCCAGAGAGGTTGTGGAGTCTCCTTCTCTGGGGACTTTAAAGACCTATCTGAATGTGTTTCTGTGTGACCTACCCTAGGTTCTGTGGTGGTCCAGCTCTAGCAGAAGGATTGGACTTGATCTCCAGAGGTCCCTTCAAACCCGTAACATTCTGTGATTCTGTAAGTCTGTGAAACTGTGAAACAGAGTCCTGATTTGAGAAATTAGGAGAATAAACAGCTTGATTAAATTGTAGAGATGTACAATGTAAAAATCCCTCATCTAAGCAGGTAGCCATGCTGTTTAGGCCTGGAAGAAAATAAGTAAAACTAAACCAAGAGAGCTGTTTCCAACCATTGCCACAGCTGGGAAATGGTGTGAGTTTCAACATAGGGCCTGGACTCATTTTGTCTGTCAGTTCTCACACATTAAACAGAAATTGTCACTGAGGATATGTCACTCACTAACATATGAATCGCATACATTTTGCCTTGCTTTAACTCAAACAGAAAACAAGTCTAGATTTGCCCATATGCTTTTAAAATGTTTCATTCTAGTGTGCTGGCAGTGTTCTCATTGACCTTCTTGCTCCTGGGAATTTCACTTCAGGATCTCTCCTTCTGGTGCGTAAAGGCAATTCTTCACAGCTTTGCATTTTGGCTGAAGAGGGTTTAAGTACTAAGGATGCTGATATGTTGAACAAGCCAAGTGAAAGTAGCAATTTGTTTGTGGAGTGTAAATTTTCCTTGTGCTAAGGCTTTCTAACCCTTGGAGTACATAATTGTCAAT